CGGCGGGGTGTCTGGGGGCGGGGTCTACCCTCAGGAAACAGAGCAGGACAAGGTTACCCCGGCGTGCAACACCTCACCAATGATTAATCATGAGCTTCTTTCTAGTGGCGTCCGAGGAAATGGTAATATTGTCGATATTCGACAAAAACAAAACGAACACGAAAAAAAAAGGCAACAGAACAGAGGTGCGCCGTGGCCCGTGGGCGCCTCCGACCGTTGACCTCCAGGCCGTCAGAGCAGCGCCGGGTCCCGGGCCTGCCAATCAGACTCGTTTTCTTACCTAAGTCGTAGGTATTGGCCGTGGAAATCTTTCCTGCAGCATACTATGCCCCATGCAGGCGAGGGAGCGGGTTGCCCACTCCAACGGCGATCGGTCTACGATGTCGGAGGCCACTAGCGGCAGGCACGAATGCATTCTTTCTCAGTGCAATCTACTCGTTGAAAATGTGTTAACCACGCCCACACGGGACCATCCTGGTTCTCCAGGGCAAACGACACCACTGTGAACTGTGGACGAGCTGCCCCCTGGAGGGCACCGACACCACGGTGGGTTCAAGTACGCACTGCGGCGGCGAAGGACGCCGCTTGTTTTATTGGAGCGGGCGAGTTGAGGGCACAGCACAGAGTGCGCTAACCACACACCGGAAGACAGCCGCAAGGCGGGCGCCGAAGCACCCCAAATGATACAGTAAAGGGAAACGCATGCACGGCCCGCCTGCTCCCATCATCGGCCTCAAAGTACGATTTAGTGTTTTTATATCACTCTCCCCCTTGCCGGATGTGTCTGCAAGGAAGGACGGCGTGCTCTCTGCCCAGGCGTGTTGGTGCCCGCCCTTAGGACGAGCACTTGCACGGGCCGGGCTGGGATGGGGCTGCTCCGGCCGGGCTGCAGCGCTCGACCCGCAGCGCCACCACGGCGGGGCTCGGTGTGACGTCAGCGGTGCGGACATTCGGCCACGCGGATAAAATTGTGATCGTCGCGTGTTTTATGACCAGCAAATCTCGTACAGGGAAGTAGACGGCGATTTGACGAGATTTATACCGACGACGTTGACGGTCGCCGCCGCCGCCTGGTCGGGCTCCCGAGCAGGTGCCAGCGGCAGCAGGGCGCAGAGTGGCGCTGGCGCCCGTGCCGCCCGCGACGCCCTGCACGTAGCGAGGCGAGCTGAGCTACCAGAGATAGGGAAGGCCTCTCACCAGCCTCTCGCCAACTCACCTGCTTTACGCCCGGTCCCCGGGGTCGGCAGCCGGCGCCGCCCACCCCAGCAGTTCGCGGTAGATGCACATATTCGGCTGACGGCGCGCGGCGCGGCGCTGCACCAGAGGGCTGCTCGGGGCGCCAAGCAGCTCGCCGTGCACCCGGGACCTGTGCGCTGCAGAAATTCAACAAACGCCAACACAATGGACGGGGTGGGGGCGGGGTAGTGTTGTGGGCAGCGCTGCCCCCCGCCCTCCACGCACCTTGCGTCGCGGTGGCAGTAGAGTCCGACCGCCCCTCGGTGACAGCAGAGCACCTCCACGATGACGGCTCCCCTGTCGACGAGGACGTTGGTGCTGATCCTGGCCCTCGCCACCCAAGCCGTCTCCGTGGCCCACGCCTACGCCGTGGCGAAGGATTTCGGAAGCGGGCTGGGGCACCCTCTGCGTAAGTTCGAGTGAGAACGGCCGAGGAGGCAGGAGGCCGAGGCCCGCTCCCTCAACCTGACGTGTCGCCCTTGCTTGTCCTCACAGCGTCTTTCCTCAAGATTTGCCAGCGACATGACCCGAATATCAACGAGTGCATCAAGGAAGCGGTCGAGCTGCTGCGGCCCCACCTCGCGGAAGGTATGTCTCTTACTCGTAAATCTGAGCCACGATTGTGAGGAATGATTGTGTGAATAAACTGAGTGAAACGCCCAGAAGAGGGTTCGTCCTCGTGCATGCTTTAATTAAAAAGCAAGTGAACAGGCATATAGTTTTCGCTACGCCATTACAGCTCAGTCGTTTTTTTTAGAAATGTTTAATTTTAAGTCAACTTTTTGTTTTTGCCTATACCTCGCTACTTGCCGTAGTAGGCAACCAGCCTGCCCGCACGTAGGAATGCGGTACAGCATAAGTACATCGGTGCCCGGGGTTAAGCAGCCACCTAGGATACACTGAAGTCAACGGAGAAATTAGGTGTCGATGCCGGCTGGTTTGCCTATGCGCTGGCGTCAGGGCACCTGGACCTGGGCGGAGAGAGTAGGCAAACTCTGTGTTGACTTCAGTGTATGTTTGTTGTACCTAGAACTAGTATTATGAACGAGTGATGTCAGTTTTTATAGCAGAAATTTCGCTGAAATAAACGGTCTAAAGTGATTTTCTTCCTGAGCGAAAACATTTAATCGTTAACGCTGCTTCTTGAAACACGCAGGTATCAGCGAGCTCGGCATCCCGTCCTGCGAGCCTCTTCTTATTCCTGAAGTGGTGGTGAACCAGGGGAGCGGGCCAGTCACTGTCACCTCCATCTACAGAAACCTTCGCGTGTTCGGGCCCAGCCAGTTCGTTCTGAAGAGCATCAAGTTAGTAGATCAACAGTTGACGAGATCTGGCTTTACACTAAATTCTTGAAACTGCAACATTGTTATAGAATTTGTATGTGATTATTGGCTGTCATCGATTTCCATGCCTGTTATATCGCATGATATCTTCTATCACTAAAAAGGGAGAGAGTGTATGAGGAGAAAGGGTAGCAAAAATAGTGCTATAATTTCAAATTACAAACACTTGGAAGTAATACAAAGGTGATGGAATCATTTTTGCGATGATTTCTCACTATACAGGGTGGTTCACATACCTCTTCCTCTAATTTGCGTATACTGCACCTCATGCAGGCGTGTGGGCGGGCTTGCTTACCGTCGCTCACCTCGGTGCCTTCTGGCCCCGTGTGAGTATGCAACTCACTGCACGCCTGCATGGGTACAGTCTAAGCAAATTAGAGGAAGAGGTCTCTATGGACCACCCAGTATTTTATTACATTCTTTATGGTAGTGACAATTTATAGATGCGACGAATCATTGTAATGGCAAAACAACAGTCATCGCATGGTTTAGTAG